AGTTTTTTTGGAGACAGTTTTAAACTTTTATAATAGACACCTAAGAGACCTAAACCAAAGGAAAGATAAAACCATGATCATGGACAGAAAGTGTCACCAAGGTGTTAATTTTTAGAAATTTACCCTTAGTTACAATGCAATACTAGCAAACTATTTTTTTAAATATTTGAGAAAATATATGGAGCTCAGGGGCCAAAAGATAGCTTTTACTAATAAGATAATATCAAATGGTATATTTGCCTACAAGAAAGTAATTGTAATTAAGGGAGTCTGTTGTTAATACAAAAACAGGAACACTGGAACCTCCCTGGTGGTGCAAGAGGTTAAGATGCAACCTATGAAGCTACCCCCAGCCACTGCAGCAGGAGTTCTACCCCCAGCCACTGCAGCACGAGTTCGATCCCCGGCCTGGGAACCACACACATGGCACAGCAGACCTCTCCTGACTCACACACTGCTCCCTTCAACAGTGTATTTCAGTACATCTGCCTGTTCTGTCCCCCACTCTGTCTCTGGTGAACCCTCTCACCCTCCACACCTCTGGCCCATACTCCAGTTCTTGTATGCATAAATAAATAAATATTTAAAAAAAAACAGAAATAGGAACACTGAACAATGTAGAGAAAGGAGAAGTAGACCTATACACATATGGCAATTGATATCTGATAGAGATGCCATTACAGATCACTGGGGAAAGATACCACCATTCAGTAAATGGTGCTGGGACAACTGATACTGATATAGGGGAAGTGAGCACACAGTCCACACAAGCCATTTCCAACTTGATTAAACATTTAGATGGGAAAGGCAAATTTTAAAATGTTTATAAGGCACACAAGGGTGACAATCTTTACAAGTTCAGGACAAAATAACTTAAGGGAACAGCTTGGTAAATTTAAGTACTTTAAAATTAATTTCTTTTTCATCAAACTACATCATGAAAAGAGTGAAAGCAAATCTCATCCTGAATGTATTTTCAAGAAATATAGCTTAAAATGACTTTGCATCAAGGATGTATAGATAAATATTACAAGTAATATTAACAAAATTCCAACAGTGTAAGGTCAAAAAATATGAACAGACATTTCAACAAAGGGGAAACAAATATAGGAAAACACATAAAACAGAAAAAAACTTATGAAAAGATGCTCAGTTTTATCAGATATCAGGAAGATGCAATTCACAAGATATACCTTAATACCCATACACTGCCAAATTTTAAGAAGCCAGAGAATACTAGGTGCTCTGAATCCTCACATACTTCTATTGTAGAGTGTATTGGTGCAAACACTGAGTGCATACTTTGGCATATAGGGCCTGGCAAATCTACTTCTTGATATATTCATCTGAGAAACTCATTTATGTTCACCAAGAAAAATGTAGAAGAATTTTTTTACACAAGTTATTTGCAAGAACCCAAGAATTCATAAACTAAAGAATAAATACATTTATGGTATAAACAAATGAAATGGTATAGGAACGAAAATGAAAGAATTGGAATCACATACAGAGTCTGGTTGAATCTTAGAAACAAAGTTTTAAAAGATTACTTACAGAAGATTATATACACTTTTGGAAAGTTTAAAGCCAACTATTATGTACATGTTCAGATATACATATGCACATATAATAAAAGCATAAAAAAATAAGGCATTATAAGCACAAAATCCAGAATAGTGTTTACATGGGAGGGATAAGGAAGGAGTTCTCAGATGCTTTACTATTATGCTTCACAATATATATATATAACCATTCTTATGTATATATCAAATATTAGAAAATAAAATCACCTAAAATTTGTTATTCGGGATACCAGAGTTACAAGAATTGGTAATGAATAATTTATTAGGCTATTATAAAATGACTGGTATTCTCATCAAATCACTAAATCTTCCTAAATATCAGTAATATCAGTTGGAAATTGAATTCACTAACATGATCTTGAAGCAATTGTGAAATTGTTGAAATATGGTACCATCTACTTACATATAAGTAGCAACAAGAGACCTGAACCTTGCAGGTTCTCAATCTACATTTGCTGTCAGGATTCTGTGTCTATTTGGACAACATGCCCACCTTCCTTGAATTTGTTCTACCCATCTATGAAAATAGAATATGGATCTCTAATGTGCTTTTGTTTTAAAATAATACTGGTGCCACTCTCCATATGTTAGTGTCTTTTCACATTCTACTTCTATTTCTTCTTTCCCTGGGCCACAGTAACCAGAGAAATACTCAAGGTACATGCTATAATCAGAGTCAGAACTGATTTTTATCTTTACCTAGATTATTTTGGCATTCTAATTGTAGCTTGTATAACTTCACCTGATTATTACATATGTCTGGTTCCAGCTCACATCTGACATAGATGCTAGGTGACATATGTCTTATGTCCATGATCCCACTGTGAGCCACTGCCCCTAACAATTTACTCCCATCTCAAGATGGTGTGGCCTTCCAGGTGCCTTCTAAATGACCACCTGACATCTCTATGTACAAGCTTTCATAACTCTTGAGTTGAGCCAGAAAATCATTTATTCCCAATTCCTTTAAAAATTTTATTCCCTAGGTCCTTATACAAATAGTACTGACAACTTGTCCAGAGGAGATCACACGACGAAATATTAGCTAGCCATTCACACAATAAAGCTGTGTAAAAGCCAGATTCAGTGGCTTACAAAACACTGGCATTTCTTACTTTTTGGGTTTTTTTTTTTTTTTTTTTTTTTTTTTTTGCCTTTAGGCCGTGGATCTGCTGGTCTTAGCTCTACATGCCTCCATACTCTTGGACCAGATGTTACTTGAGCATATACTTTCATGGCAGATTATAGAAGTGCAAGGAGCCACATCCAATCCAACAAATTTATGAACTTTACTCCAGTCAAGGCTATGTATATTTTATTGGCTAAAGCAAGTTGTTTAGCAAAACCCAACATTAATGGTGTGTGTGGGGGGGTGGGGTGGGGGCGGTGTGTGGATAAGACTTTCTAGTCTAATTTACTGCAAGATGACAAACACAAGCAAAAAAATATGAAAAATCCAATTCACCAAAAACACTCATACAAAGTCAAAATGGAAAGTAAAAAGCATTTAAATATTTTTCTTCCACTGCTGAGTTTCTACCTCCCTTTTTTTCACCTTATTAGTTTGAGTTAAAACCATAAGTAAGACTTTAAAATCAACAGACTGCCTCAATTTACATACATTTTAGAGAGAAAGAGGAAATATATGTTAAAATATTATGTCTGTGGAAAAATCTAGATATTGACAAAATATATTCTCCTGCTATTCTGACAACTGACTGACAATCTAAAATGCAGGATGATAAAATTTGTGTCTGTCTGATGAATGACAGTCAGTGGAAATGTGGTGGAAAGAGCTCCAACTTTCAAACCAGACAGATCTAGTTCTCAATTCTGGTCCCTGATGATGCTAGGTTTGATCTGGCAATTGGTTTAAATTCTCTGAGACTCATGTTCTAGTGTGGGGAGAGGGGATAATATCATTTTTGAGATATTGCTGTGAGGATCTTTAAGTATGTGAAAGGATTAATATCTGACACTTGGCATGGAAGGCCTTGCAGTTATTCTGGAAGTATTTACAATACATATTACAGAGTATTTTTGACTTTCCTGTGTATCTTTTAAAACAGATTTCTTTTTTCCTCTAAGATGGCTAAGGTGTAATTTCACATGAAAATAGGATGCTACCTCTGCTAGGAACTCTTCAAACCTATGATTCAATGATTCCAAAAAGACACTATTTATTCATTTCAGAAAACCATTTGCCACACTGCTGCATACTTTCAGATGTACAAATAAAGGGATCCCAGCTGGTTGCTTTATTTTCAAACAATTACAAAGGAAACAGTAGAATTTTGGCTTCTTGGAATTTTCCTTTGAAAATTTTCACAACCATGTGTGGTTGGAATCTGGCATTTATCTTTTGCTTCCACTCTGGAAATTTATGCAGCTCTCTAGCATTTGGTTTGGGTCACATAACTTTTCAATTCTTGGTCACAGTCATCCACTTGGATAATTTCCTTCCAGTGTGAAAAATCCCATATACCAGAATGTGTCTACACAGCATGACTTTAAGCATAATAATTGCCCATGGATTAGAAGAGTTCACACAGCTAAATCCCTTGTGAATAATAAGGAAACAAAAAACTTACATAGACGTTTTATGTGAATAACCAAGACAGAGTGTATAGCTTATAATCAGTCAAATGAATTTTCTAACCATTGACTGACTTTATAGGCATAATAAAAATATATTTTACAGCTCATGTACAGGAAAACATACCAGTCCACAAATAACCACATGAATCCTTCCAATTTTTAAATGTTTAAAAAAATTGTTTTTAGGGACTTTCAAAAACAGCTTTTAAAGATCAGCTAGATGATGTGAGTTTATGTCAGACATTATATTCTTGCCCTGCAGGACATCATTGTACCCAGGATAACTGCTCTGACTACACTTTGAGAGAAATAGTGATCTTGGGAAGACATTTATAAAGAGCTCAATCTCAAAAGATTTTCCTCTCTTGGCAAACAACAACAAAAATACCTTTATTCTTCTCACTGGAAATTTTCCCTGATTCTTTTGCCTATATCTCAACTACAACTCTTTCAAAGCTGAATTTCATATTTCTCTCTCCTAATAGGGCCCTTTGTGGAATTTTTATTCAGTCTACTATGTCTAATACTGATCTGTAGAATCTTCCTTCTTGACATTGACCCTTCCCTGGCTAGAAAAACAGTACCTGCCTCTGACTAACTTCGAATCTTTTTTGAGTCCAAAGACATTTATTTTGTTTGATGAGATAGATGATTTAAGGTAATTTCAGTTTCAATACTTGATAGCCATCCTTCCTTCCACACAGTCACCAGAGTACCAACTATGCGCCAGACATCCTGCTATGTTCCAGAATACAGAAAAAGATCAGAAAACCACTAGGTACAGCCTGTCTGCACTTGCATCCAGGCTCTGTGACTTACCAGTTGCGTCAACTTGACTAAGGTCCTTGAACTTTGTCCTTCAGTTTTCTTATCTGCAAAATGGTGAGACACAGGGCAAGCTAGAAATTAGGCAGTTTTAGGGACAGTGCAGTGAAGAATTTAGGGAGGCTTCAGAGATAAGGACAACCAAGGGAAAGTAACCCATTCCACTAGGAAAAACAAACATCCCAGAACGAAGGACAACATTGTTAATGCTAGTCCTGGTTTCCTTCAGGTGGTAAAGGCAGGCGGAGATTGGAGAAATGGAGAATGGTTTAATTTATGGACATATTAGAAGGGCAGCTGTTTAACTTCAATGCAGGGATGCCCATCCAGGGGACTGGGCCATAAATTTAAAGATGCAACAAATGGGGAAAGAGAAAGCTGTTAGATAAGGAATGTGAAGATCCCCCACTCAGTAGCAAATTAAGTGAGACAGACGAGAACTAACCAATCACAAAGAGACTGGTGGAGCTTTAGAATAATGAGGGGAAAAAAGATATATTCCCTGAGACACGACTCCACTTTGGCTTCCTTGCCCCTCCCAGGCCTGGTTCCCTGGCCTGGGAGTCCCACTTTATTTCTGTTCTTTTTCTCCTCAATAAACTTTTCTTTCTCTAAACAAACCTGCCTCTTCTCGCTTGCTTGCCTGAGCGTCTGCAAAGTTCCAGCTGCGGCTTTGTGAGACACCAACCCGTGGGGGTCTAGTGGCTGGGGCTCAGCGCTGCCCTGCAGCCTGGGATCTGTTCCTGGCTGGGAGACTAGGCCTGACAATTCCAGTATCAATGGGAGAGTTATAGAGCCCTATGTCAGAGTTGTTTTGAGGGTTAAGTAATGCATACATGCAAATTGCTTAGAGTTCATAGATGATTCTGTGAACAATGCTAGTCCTATGTCCTCCGACCTGTTTTGTTACCATAATCACCCTGTTTCTTGACCTTCACCAGGCTGACCACCATCATAATAAAAGAAGGGGCTCAGTTTATATGGAAGCAGACACAAACATTGCAAAAACCCTTCAAAATATAGGTTCACAATAACCTGGTTCTGGTTTTCAGAATCTTTGGGATAGAGTTTGAAGTTCAAAGACAGATAATATACTTCTAACTTTTCAAGGGAACATTTCAATACTTCTTGTATAAGAGCTAAAAATATTATAGGTTTACACAACCAAAACCCTTTTGCCTCACCTGATTTAAAAAAAAAAAAAAAAAGACTACTTGTTGATCATGGAGCTAAGAACATGCTTTAGGCTAAGAGTTGTGTACAAGATCTTCATGTGAGTAGTCCTCATATATTACTGCTTTGCTTTATGCTTACGCAATCTTACCGCATAATGAGATAACATTTCTAAAGGACGTTTATAATTCCTATTCATCTTTCTTCCAATATTTTATTATATTTTTAAACATAAACATGAAAATTTTACAGTGAATGCACATTATCAACCATTGAGTTACAGTTACCTTTTTTCTAAAATGTGCCTTGCACATATATCCATCCCTGTATCTACCCCTCTATTCATGTATTAGCTTATCTTATTTTCTGGTACATTTCAAAGTAACTTGCAGATGTCAGTACCTCTATCATCCCCCATTGCAAGATGGATGGAACAAGAAGGCATTATGATAAGTAAAATAAATCAGAAGGAGAAAGACAAATTCTGGATGGTATCACTAAGAGGTGGGATATAGAGAAACTAATAAAAGGAACAGATAAAGTCAAACTTAAAAACTAACTCTAGAAAACTGAGTATAGAGCTGAGGAATTCTGAGGGGCAGAGGGGTAAGAACAGTGTGGGGAGGGAGCACAATGGATTAAGGTGGTGGTCACTGTGGTAATAACACTTGAATGGGTTGGAGAGGCATTCTATAACCCTAAAATATAAGCAACAATGTAAACCAATGATATTTCAATTTAAAAAAAATTGGGGGGTCCTCCCTGGTGGCCTAGGGGTTAAGTCTTAGCACTATCACCACGACAGCCTGAGTTTGTTACCCTGCCAGGGAGCTGACCAACACATGGCGCAGCAGACCTCTCCTGTCTCACCCACTGCTCCCTTCAGCAGTGTATTTCAGTAAATCTGCCAGTTGTGCTCCCCACTCTGTCTCTAGTGAATCCTCTCAAGTCCCTTCCCCCCTCCCCCCACACCTCTGGCTGCATCACAGTTCTTCAACGTAAAAATATAAAAAAAAATTAAAAATTGGGACAAAGAATACATTATCATTGTCAATGAATTATCTCTACTTTGCATCAAATTTTTTCCTAAATTGATTTTGGATCTTGTTTGTTTCTTCTTTTGATGCTGTGTAGACAACCCTGGTTATTTGCAATTTCAAGTCTGAGAAAGTTTAAAATGATATGTGCTTGGGATATGTCAGAGGGATAGGACTTGTCACAAAGAACAAATGACTGCTAGAATGGTGTAGTCATCTCTTATTTACAAATTTATGAAAAAACAGAGTTCTGAAGTCACAACCAACCAATCAAGGAGGAAAATTATGACTGTGCCACACATTGTGTGATTCTCTTGATCTTCCTTCTTGCAATTTATTATGATTGTGAAATTCTATTAATAAACCATTGTAAGCGTTTTCATTTCAGGTCAGTTTGGTTACCCAATAAATGTCTCATGTAGGACAAAGTGAGTAATATGATTTAAAAACATTTTCTGCCCAAAATTTAGTTTTCTAATTCTGAAAATCAATTACCAGAATTGTTTCTAGCTCAGTCTTTACACTATACATTTCTGGACACAACCCTCTTTAATTGAACACATCAGTATTAAAAGTCCATAGTTTGGTATTCAGGAAATTTAAGGAAAGATGGTCACAGTTCTTGCATTTAAATATATTTCCATCTAGAAGAGAATGGAATGAATAGGAACAGTATCTAATCTGTAGATAATATTTGACAAGGACTATGATATACTCATCCACTAGACAAAAACATATTATATATCTTCCATGTTGTGAGCAGTTGTCTGAAATTCTGGGGACATAGCCATGAAGAAGGCAGTTACATTATATACTTCACAGTTTGGTAGGACTGACAAATATTTACCAAGACAGCCTGAGTCTCCACAATGGACCAGATACTGTAAAACCAAAGACGGAAAGTTCTGCTTCAAGGTGTTGACAGTTTAATGATGTTAATAAGTTAAGCAATGACTAAACAACATAAGAGCACTGAAAGAGGAGGCAGGGTATTACAGAAAGTCAAGGGATAGGTCAAGAGAAAGTACAGTCATTATCCTATTTTCTAATCATAAATTTGTTAAGTTTTATTATATGCTATAAAAATATGGGAAACACTATAGTTTAAGTAATCTAGATGCCTGCTGAACAACTTATAACATGTTGAGTGTCAGAGGAAATGAGAATGTGGAGAAAGAAATTCTCTTGGTGTCAATAGGAAAAGCTTCCTGAAAGAGAGGTCATTTGAACCAAGTTCTTCAGGAGGGCTGCACAGTGCCCCCAGGAAGGAGGATTCAGTATTAGCTCATGTACAGAGGGTGGGAAGTATACCTCTTTAGCACTTGGTGAAGAGACTATGTGATCAGATTTGGGCGTAAGAGTATTAAGGCAGGAAAATCATTAATTAAGTGCTTTTCTAGGTCTTGAAAGATCTGTGTGCCTTGATAAAACAAACACACTCAGGCTTTATCTTGAATGCAAACTTCAACATGGGAAATAAGTTGAAGACACCTGGTAAATATGGGGCATCTTGACACCTAAAAGTGATAAAGACAAGCAACAAAACTGGTGTAAAGTCAATGTCTATCAGTTTCAAGAATTTGCTTAAACCAATTATAGTGTTTATTCATTGACTCTCCACATTTTTGTTGAGAAATTAACTACCACATACTCTATCAACTGTTATTATAGGAAGAGAAATATAAAATACCAACACAAAATAGTGCATGATGACAAGGAAAGCAGATATAGTAACAACTCACAGTATTCTAAACCGTATAAATAAGTGAAATGGAGGACACATATTGGGTACAGAAAGGATTTTTTTTTTAGGTAGGTTTATCATAAAAAAGGAAAGAAAAGGATGCTTGCAGGCAGGAAAAGAGCTGCCCCTGAAAAGGGACAGGTTTATTAACATAGATGCCTGCATAGACACAGGCGGGTGGTCTTGAAAGATGAGCTGCTGAAATAACGAAATTCGAAGAATGATTTTAGAAAGGATTCATGGCTCAGCAGTCTACCTGCCCGTCCCATATGCATTTTAGTAAAAGTACCTTGTGACTTTTCTTAAATGGAGTTTCCTGAAAATAGGTTCTGAGATGGAAAATTGCATGCAGAGGTTTAGAGGGAAGTTTTTGGGGAAGAAAAAACAAAGAAAAAAGAACTGACCTGTGAAGACACCCTCCCGCCAAGCACTCTTCCCATCCATGCAAGCAGCCGGATGCTTCAAAAATGGTGTAAACTAAAGGCTGCTGGGGCTTTTATCTCTAGGCTCTAGTCAATCACTGACAGCTGGGAACCATAGGCTGCCCATCCTCTGTAGGACCCCAGCTCAGCTGGGGGAAATTCCCCTAATGGACCCATCAGGGAGTCAGCAGCCTGTTTTACTGCAGATATGGCAAGCTGGTAGGTGGAAAGTTGATTGTCTGCTGAAGAGTTTCCTGTTAGTTTTTCCATTGTATGCTTGTAGTGGCAAGCAAGGCCTGGGGCAGGCTCTCTGTGGATCCACCAGACCAATAAAGTAGAGTCCTGGAACCCTCAGGGGCTTTTTCAGCCTTGTAATGATCTTTCTACACCATTTGTAGTGAGGCAACCAGGTGCAGGGCAGGCAGGGTTGTGGAGGCTGGCAAGCCTCCCAGCCCCCAGCGAATCTTTATTCTTTCTGGGCTCACTATGATGTTCTTTCATAGTCCTGCCTTTCTGAAGCCACTCATCCTCTCCTAGCAGTTCTCTCTGGCACCATCCTCTGCTGCAACCCTCCTCTTTGTTGACACCGCCCAATAGGCTCAGCCTCTAGGCTCAGGTGTGCCCACTTATGCATGCCCACACTGTGCTTCAGGTGTCCACAATCAGGTGTCCACAATCAGGCACGTGTGCCCCACACCCACACTCCCAAGCACTTTCTGCATCAACACTATCAAGGATGCAGGTAATAGCCACAGAGACCAGCGGAGTAAAAAGCCTGGCCAATTCATTTACCCTACAGTGACACTATCTGATATTTATCTTTTTTTTCTTCTAATTTATTTCACTTAGTATAATTGTTAGGGGGAAAAGGATGTCCCAAAGCTAATTCCATATAGGCTTTGTGGACTCCACCCCCACCCTAGGTCAAAGTCAAAGACACTGGGAACTCCAAATCCCACCATCACCAAAGGAAGGTGGCTGGGGCCTGAGGGTGGGGTTAAGCAGCCAGGTGGATATAAAAGGCAGACACGTGGGCTTTGGGGGCCCCCATTTTGCTCTCCGCCAGCTCGCAGGGTCCGGCCAGCTCTGAGAGTGACTTTGGGTTTCCAGGTCGTCGGATCGGGTAGGACGCATTAAAGACTTTATTTCCCTATTTTTTCCCTGAGTTGTACATTTTCCTTATTTCCTTTTCTCTTGTAAATAAACCTTTTATTAACCTTTTGTGTGTGTGTGTAGTAGAGTTTTCATAAGTCCCTTTAAAGCGCGCGGGTGAGGACCTGTTATAGAGCAACCCCGATATTAAATGGGTTCCTGGCTGTGGGTCCTCACCCGCGCGCTTTAAAGGGACTTATGAATACTACAGACACACGCAAAAGGGTTAATAAAAGGTTTATTTACAAGAGAAAAAGAAATAAGGAAAATATACAACTCAGGGAGAAAATAGGGAAATAAAGTCTTTAATGCGTCCTACCCGATCCGACGACCTGGAAACCCAAAGTCACTCTCTGAGCTGGCCGGAAGCTGCGAGCTGGCGGAGAGCCAAAATGGAGAGCCCCCCAAAGCCCACGTGTCTGCCTTTTGTATCCACCTGGCTGCTTAACCCCACCCTCAGGTCCCAGCCACCTTCCCTTTGGTGGTGATGGGATTTGGAGTTCCCAGTGTCTTTGGCTTTGACCTGGGGTGGGGGTGGAGTCCACAAAGCCTGTATGGAATTTGCTTTGGGACATCCTTTTCCCCCTAACAATTCCCCCCTTTCACTTGTTGCCACCATTTCCATGGTGATGAAGATCGAATATATGGAGGTTGGGATGCAGTCTCAGATAAACATTTTGTCAGGTTCCAGTGTGAAAGAAAACCATCAGTTTAAGCCAAAAAAAAAAAATCTGGAGGCGTTAGCCAAAACAAGACAGCAGATATGTAAAAATTACAGGAAAAAAAATCTTAAAACGGTTCAACTGATGTAAAAACACAAATTTTCTCAACCTTGATCCCAAACTTTTAACAGCAAAGCAAAAGTTTGCAAACTAAATCTACTTTTAAACCATTTTTCCTATTTTTGCATAAAATCACAGGGTAGAAATAACTAACAGCAATTTTTAGCTGGCTTTGTTGAAATATTCCATACAGGATCAGAGCGAACCGGTGGCATCCAGTCGATGTATGCTTCAGGTATAACGTTGGTCTCATCAGACTCCACCTGGGCTTTCCTCTTCTCGAGGGTACCAGGGCATTTTCGTTGGCTGGGTTGTCCAGTCCTGCCAATGGAGGCAAGCTTCCTCACCTTCTTTGGAGGTCTCTGGAACCCTACAAACAAGGCAAACAGGTTCTCCTCTTCTTGGTTCAGCTCTTTTTCAACTTTCTGGAAGAACTCCACACAAAGCCACACAATCAAACTCACGTCCAATTTTTTGTTAAAACAGACAAAATCCCTATGGAAGTTATGCAAAAACAGACTCTGAAATAAGTAGCAAAAATTACTACCACTATTTGTATGCTGTGTTGGTATCAAGGGGAGAGAAAATGTGACAAGTTAGCTTTGCTGGGAAAAAAATTGCAACCTTTCTGCAGATGCTGGTTACTCAAAACAAAACAAAACAAAACAAAAACTTCGTGGATTCAGGACAGAATGCATAAAAAAATTTCCAGTATTATGTCAAAGAAACCTTAGTAAATGTCAGGTGTATTTCCAGGTCTATTCAGTCCTTTGTAGGAAAGTTTTTTACTCTCAATAGTTCCATCAATAGGAATCTGTTGAGACCTTTTTTCCCTATATTTCCAGAAACAATTTCTGTAGATGTGAAACAATTGAATTATACAATATTACAAGGTGACAATCACCATTGACAATTTACATACATACCAGATACTGAGAGGTTTTTTCATACACATTTTAGAAAACTACTGTTAACATTTTGTACATACCAAAGTTTTACCATTTTCCCAAGTGACAATGCTTCCCTTCCAGTTTTACTTCATTAGGTAAAAGCCAAATAGAACAAATTCATGTAATGCCTTCCCAGGAGGAAAGGGAGAAACTTCGTGGAGTGTCTCAGGAGCTCTACTAAGGTTCCACAAAATTTCCTTGCATCAGTCAAATGACAGGCTACCAAATTTGTACTTGAATTTAGATTTCTGGGAAGCTTTGCCATAAATATCAGAAAATTAACAGAAACAACAATATTCAATGTCTATGAAGGCACCGGCTTAGTTCAGTAGCACAATGTTGACAATCAAACCATAACCTTTAGTTTTTCTCATAACTGGAGACTTTTTTTTTTTTTTTTCCTACGTCTATGGGCACCACATATACCAATTTGTCGATCACTGGAGGTCAAGACGGTTAGACACAAGGACATACAGACAGACAACATATAGACACAAAGAGCTCTTTAGTTACCATTCATCACGCGTGGGATATCCCATACAACTGCAGTTTGTCTGATAGGCCAAAGTAACAATAAAAAAAACAAGCAGAAAAAAAACTTCAAAGTAAAAAAAACAAAAGTTGATAGGAAATAACAAAATCAAGATTAAAAACCTTTCTATGTAAAAAAAAATACTGTCAGCATATGCATGATCCTAGATGTTACTTCACATCTCCTAAACTTTGAAAGGAAGAGATTGGTTAGAGCATGTTAGTTTTTTTTTTTTTTTTTCAGGGTTTCTTCAGAAAAAAAAATGAGTTCTTGGGTATCCTGCAACAATAACTGGAAAAGAAGTCAGTAACATTCAAGTTTCTTTCTGTTTCTTAAATAAATATCTCAAGTCTTCAATGGGTTCACAATGGGACTTCATCTCTGGGTCAATTCCTTCTGGAGCTTTCTTAACTCTGGAATGATGTACCCAGGGTTTTATACCTGCAAGTTTCAGAGAAGTATGTGTGCTTAGCAAAACGTCATATGGACCAGTCCATTTTTCTGACAGCTGGTTTTGGGCATCCCCACTCTGCCAGGTCTTCAGTAAGACCTGATCTCCAGGTTTGAAGGGATGCAATGGTTGATCAGGAGGCATAGAGATCCTTGAGTCTGCAAAGTTATGAATTACTGCCAGAACCTCCTGGATGTGTTTCACATATTGTGTGATCCGGCAACCTTGAGCTATTTCCGGATTGGCTTTTAGAACTGAGGCCTGGAAGGGTCTTCCGAACACAATTTCAAAGGGGCTTAATTGTAGCCCACTTCTAGGTGCCACTCTTATGCGAAGGAGGGCAAGGGATAGTACCTGGTCCCAGCGAAGCTGTGTTTCTTGGCACAGTTTCGCCAAGGTTTTCTTTAAGGTGTGGTTCATTTTCTCCGTTTGTCCAGAAGACTGCGGTCTCCATGCAGCATGCAATTTCCAGTTGATCTGTAACGCACTGCTTACTGCATGAGTAACATCAGAGACAAATGCTGGCCCATTATCACTCTGGATAGAATCCAGCAACCCAAAGCGAGGAATTATCTCCTTTAGCAGCTGTTTTGCAACCTCGGAAGCTTTTTCCGTCTTTGTGGGAAATGCTTCCACCCATCCTGAGAACGTATCCACAAAAACCAACAGGTATTTGAAGTTGCCTGTTGTTCTAGGCATTTGTGTAAAGTCCACCTGCCAGTCCTCAAAAGGGCACTTGCCTCGATATTGAACCCCAACGGCTTTAGGGTGGGAGTCAGTCTTGGGGTTATTCCTGGCACATAGTTGACAACCTCTCGTGATCCGTTGTGCTATTCTATGCAAATATGGTCCCTTCAAATATGGGCGCACAGTTTCTAATAAGGCATCTCTCCCATAGTGGGATCCTTCGTGAAGATGTTTTAGCACCGGATATACCAGGGCCTCCGGGAGGAGTATCATCCCATGAGAGTTTACTCTCCAAGTAGAGCTGGGGTCAAACTCAGTAAATCCCCATGCACGAGCTCTCTCCTCATCCCACTCGGTGTATTCAGGAGCATACTGAGTCAGGTCCACAAGAGGGATGAGTGCACCCTGGAGGGCAGAACGGGCAGCGGCCTTAGCTGCCCGATCAGCTGCCCTGTTGCCCTTTGCCAAGTCAGA